TAACAAAGAACGTAATTCATTGCAGTTAATAAGTGCATTGATATCTTACGTCACCGTCATATATTCTACACAGCAATGACGTGAAGATATATATTACTAATACTCTATTAGATTAATTATATTAATATTAGAGTTAAATAGATAAGCATGAAAACAAGTGTTCAATTTTATCGCGTTTAATTAACGGTTTTATAAGATTATCGAAGATGTAATGCTTTTGTTTGTATTTAAGTCGCTGCTTGTAACATAAGCAAAAAAAAAATAAAGTTAGTTAACTTTCGTGTATATAAAATCAATTATTTTACTGAAAATAATTATAAGATATGTATAACACTATAAGATATGATCATGTATAAATATACGAGTATGAATGGAATATATCGTACAGCTTCATATAAAGATAGATAATACTATTTCTTTGATAATAGCACTAATCGTATTTATCTATACCTTACATTAAATTTTTGGAGATCGGCAAATTTACACAATATTAATGTTATTTATATCCTAAAAAAGATCTTATTTTTTTATGTTTTAAATACCTCTTTCACAGTATAAGAAACTTGAGCAATAATAATATTGATTCGAATTAATAATTCAAATAATAAAACTGTTGGACTTCTGACGAAATAAAAAAATACTATTAGAATAGCTTTACTAAAGAAAGTACATATGTATATAATACCACAAAAAAATACCACGGAAAAAATATAATATAATAGGTAATATCATTTAATATAAATGTATAATATTTTATTAATAATTTATGTTTGTAATATGATTTAATATGTATCTATATTATTTAACACTATTAAGATATAATAAACTTTCGAATTTTTATTAAATATCAAAATTCAGCGTTAAAATGTACGGTACGGCACGTTTTACCGATGATATTACCATTATAACCCAGGTAGCAAGATGACGTTTAAAGACGTCTTAATGACGTTTTATTGCCGTTAGAGACGTCATTAAGACGTTATTACGTCATTTGACGTCACTCTGCTACCCGGAAAAATATTACTATATCAAAATATAATCACCGATATTCTTCTCAAAGAGCGAATCTGATATGAGTGCATTCTTTATATTTAAAATGAAATATATGTATATTCACTGCGCTTGAAAAAAATAAAAACAGAAATGTAGAGAAATCTCTCTAAAGAAGATAAATCTAAAATCCATAATGTAATTAAGATGCTGATGTCTCTGGTAAAATTAAATTTTAAAAATACCTAGTAAATTGTCTCGCATTTGCTGTTTGTGTGTACAAAAAGATCAATAATTAAGTATATCTTATTGTAATTCCTTTAATAATTACGTTTATAAATATTTGCTTTAAAAATGCGAAATATAACAAGAATTCTTTCTAATTTTTAATTAGTTCTGGATAAACACTTCTTTGATAAAATCTTGGATTTTTCTTTTCTTATTAAATTTTATTAAATATGTAATAAAAGTGTAAATATTAAAATCATAATATTTTTAAACTTGGTGTGGTTTGCTAGAAACAGTCTCCAGCTACTTTATATAATCTTTATACCACTTTTAGAATAATTTGTATATATATACATAGTATATTTTCATTATTAAATTATTATTAAATGGCTTTGTTATACTTTAATTTAACAAATTTCATCAGATGCTAAATTATATTAGTATTACAATCTTTAATTCTTTTGTCTTTTTTCTCGAAAAGGAGATCTTATTCGATAAATATTTATATTATTATATTATATATTATTATATAATATTTCATTTATTTTGAACTATAGAATCTAGAATCCTTTCCTGGACTTCATAGATGAACCTTATTATAGGTTCTATCACGTATTTTGGTCCAATCTGTATATTATTGTTTTCTTAGTTATATATCAATAACATTTTATTGTATCAAACTTTGTATAAAAAATTGTATGGACACTGATGGTTTATAGTAAAAAAAATTTATAGCAAAAAGAAAGAATATTTACAAACGTAAAAAAATTTAGCTAAAGCTAGGAAAACTGATTTACCGAACATCTCCTATGACCGTCTGTTGATAAAAAGTGTTTCGTGACTGACCTCTACATTGTTCTGAATGAACTCTGTTCTACACTGGATGTTGGCGATACTAGTGTGCTTGACAGATCAGGGTTATATGCAGCTACTATCCGGTATGTAAACAAAATTGTTTATGTGGTAACGGCAGGACACGGCAGGAAAGCGACGTGTGCGCGAAACGAAAATTATGCGGTAAAGAGACATCAATCGGATGTCCCAAAACGTTGCCTTTTTTCCGAAATGTAAATTATAAATGTAGCAGAGTCACAATATTGGCAGATGCCGTTTCTTGTCGGGAAGATGAAAGTGACGACGTTAAAGGGCATTTTCCCCGATCCCAGTAAGTAATATCATTTAAATATTTTATTGAACAATCGTTCAGAAAAGTTCACAGAAATAGAATTTATTTCATAAAATATTACAAAAAATAATAGTTAAAATTTGGATGCACGAGAAAATAATTAATAAAATACTGAATATTTTACTTTGTTGTTACTAGAGCCAGTCAGAAGGAAGAATTTTATTCAGGAAAACGTGAAAAACCTCCGGCGAATGGAACAATGCTTCCACGCGAGCAAGGAGGTGGAAGAGCTACAAAAGTTACAATTACACAAGCATCATAAAAGTACAGACAAGTATCAGAATGTACCCGCAAAGGTGGTCACTAGCTTCCGAGACAAGAAGAAACATGAGAGTTATAATATTGATCGAGTGTCAACTGACAAAGTAGAAATTGACGAACAAGCTCAAAATGGGACCAACGTATTTGAGTGTGATAAAAGGCAAACTACTCCTACTAAAAAGGTTGTTGGACCAGGAATGAATAATAACATATCAGGCAGACAAAAGAGAACTGGCAAACATAAGAGTCAGCAGAAATTACAACCAAAGATTTTATCCGAACCAAATGTGCACAAGTTCGATAATGCTGCAAATGGTTTAGATGCACGAAGCACCGTTAAGTACAAAAGTCAAGGGATTCAGACTTTAGATACAGATCAATTGGAAAGTATATATTCTGAAGGTGTTATTCGGTAAGTGTATTTGAAACATATATAGATTTAATGCTAAAAAATAAAAAAGATCTTAGACATATAATTCTCGACCTCGACACTTTTGATTAATTTCTATGTGCTTATTTTTTCTTTGATTTAAGAGTTTTGCTTTTTTTATATAATTATAGCGTTTACTTTTTACTTTAAACAAATTTAATTGATTAATCTTCTATAATTTAATTACTAGTAGTATTATTTAATTTCTTAATTTAATAATGTTAACAATAGAATTAATTAACAAATAAGATTTTATCTATGAACCATTTCTTTCTTGACTGATTTTTGTCAATAGGTATCCATCAAAGAACATTACAAGGCATGAAACAGCGAATAATGGTGATTTAAATAAGCAAGAGGAGAAGACTTCGAGGAAACAATCTGATTCTCCTACAGACAGAGGCGATATGCATGGTCCCGAAGATTTGCAGAAAATCGATTTACGAAAATCCGTGTCGCCGACATCTAAAGAGGAGATCGATTTTATCAAATTAAATAAAGAACGTACTTCTGTTGCTAATAAGTTGATGACGCAACTTCATAATGGTGTGCCACCTCCGAATTATCGCAAGGGAGTTGTACCTAAGTACGTTACTTTTCTTTTCTGACTTTAAATTCATTCTTTCTATTATCTTTCCTATTTTTCTATCGACTTTTTTTATATTCTAGTATATTTTCTTGAAATATTTTACTTATAATTTGTTAGTTATACTATAAGACCCGAGGAATCTTCAGATTTTTATATATGTAATTACAAATAAAATAAAATATAGAAAATATAGTATAGTGCAATATACTATAATAGAAAATTAGATAGTAATTAGATTGATGTAAAAATTATTAAATCGGAAGGTGAATTTATTTAATTTTCTTTTTTCTAACAATTTTTTGAATAGATACCTTCGAGATAGAAAAGAAGCACAAGAAAAGGAACAAAAGGCCAAGGCGGAAGCATTGCATTCTGACTGTCCAGAGGGTCACGTGCCCTTACCTGATCACGAACGCAAGGAGACGCTACGATTATTAAAAAAAAGTACGTATCTGTTGTCTAATAAAATTTAACAATAGCCTCAAATATTAATATTTGATTATTTAAATTCATTGGATTGTGTTTCTGGAATGCAGATTATCAAGATTATGTCAACGAATTAAATATGATGCCTATAAAAACGGATACTCTCAGAGCACAGAGGCGTAAGATTGAGATAGAGAAGCAACTGAATAAACTGGAAGAAGGGATTAAAGTGTTTTCACGTCCAAAAGTTTACGTGAAAATAAATGCATAAATTGTGTTGCTTCGACTAGAACGCAATGTGTACGTTTAGAAATATTGATTGTCCGTCCGTGTTTCAATCCAAAATGTCATACATTAGGCCTGTTCGCGTTTTAGCTTAACTTCTTATACAATTCATCTTTCCTCTTTTTCGTTTCACGTTGGCGAGAAAATGAGAAAAAATGAACTGTCCAAGAAGTTCAGCTAATGTCTATTTCTACCAATATAGATTAACTTTAATCTCGGTTTAATTTATTTTTTATCTTTTTCTAGTTTTGAAAATTAGAAAGAGATAAAAACTAAGTTAAACCGAGATTAAAGTTTATCTATGTTGGTAGAAATAGACATAAATAGAACAGATTTTAGTGTTTTGAGAATCCAATGTGACAAACGTGATCGTATTTTGTTATTGCAAAATGGCTAAAACTAATTGTACATATTTCTCATCAGTCGTATACACATGAAAAATTGACTAGTTTAATCTGATTGACGCATGTTTGGCATTTTAAAAAGAATTCTAGAAAATATACAGAGAAAAATACAGTGAACTATTTTCATACAAGTCTGGATTTGGCTAGCAATTGTGTAGATAGGATTGTCTCCTATTAAAAATATAATAAATATTTTATTTAATAAATTAAATTAACTCGTACATAATTATTTTGTAACGCGTTCATTTTGTACGTAAGTCCTGTCAATGGTGTGCACAAAGGACGTTGGATCGAAATGCAATCTTCCCAAGTTATAAAACACCTCTTCATTGTTGTACCACTTTTTTATATTAAAGTCTTTAAAAAATATCATTATCTCCCTTTCTGCGGATTCTGTCGAATCTAGAGCGAATAACATTAATGTCTTTCTTTTTAAATACAAGGTTCTGCATTCCTTCTATATGAATATATTCGATATTGTGGGTGATTACCAGATCCGTGAGTGGCATTTCTAGTATCCGACAGGCCAAACATTCCTCTGATAGTATCCTGTGCATTGTATTGCGCTTGATAGACCTTGGTGGGGCCCATCAGCTGTCGCCACTTAGCGACAGCATTGTGACGGGTCAGAATGTGAACGTCGGATGGACCGCTGCACATGAAAGTCAAGAGACGGTTGTAGAAGAACTTGTTCCTGTGCTCCTTGTAAAACAGTTCGGCCTCCTCGCGTGATATCGTCGCCCTGCGCGATCTGACAACTTTGAAATTATTGTCGATTATTAAATCGCGAATCTTCTGAAAAATCAGTGCGAACTTTAGTCATTAAATTTCTCCCAAATCTCGTTCCCTCGACGCTAATCGCGGGTCGTAACGCTCGCCGTTATTCTACGGAGCCTAACCGGAGCATTTTGCTCCGTGAGAGTGAGGTTAGGTTAGGGTCGCACCTGAAGAGCAAACGGAGCTTTGACGACGTGCGGCTTGAGTATCGCCAATGTTAACTGAAGACAATTTCTCGACTGCATATCAGCATCCTCTGGTTCATCTACGAATTTAAGGAACTACGCGGCATCGGCGTCACCGCGCGTACGACAGACAAATGGACGCATTCATCACCACGTGTACTTATCTCGTGTATTTGCTCGTATTCGTTTCGGAAAAACGCCGCGACCGGCGACTCGCGTATCGCGCTCATTCATAACTGAACCGAAGCGGAGACGAAAATGCCCGATTCGTCTGACTGCAGCGACGACTTCTACTACTGACAAATATCGATCTTTTCTATAATATTTATGTTTATACTAGTTAATATTTATACTTTTTTTTACTCTGTGCTGACAAAAACGATGGATTACTTTTACTGATATACTTAGTCGTTTATGATTTATTTTATTCTGTCCTGCACTCAAAGAAATAAGATGAGCTCCTCAGTTTCAGCAATTTCTCGATTGTTATTATGTATTATACATCATTTGTTGCCCCACATCGTTCCAAGCTCCAAGCTATTAATTTTTTTATAAATCAGATATCGTGCGAATTCATATCAATTTTATGTGTCGCAGATGGGTGGTTGTTGTTTGCTGCGTCTTTATTAATTAGATCCATTGTAAATTTTGCGGGGATGCGATGCAAAAAAGTAGGCAGAACATTGAACAAAGGAAACGTCGCATATAGATCTTATGACTGAAGATTGGTAGCTTTGAGATACTCTCTGCGTGTCATCGTACTCAGACTTGGGTGAAGCCCCGGTGAAGACACCGAGGCGAATGGAAGGAACACACGGATACGCAAATATGTACATTCGCGTGCGCTCGCGCAAGTAAAACGAAGTAAAGCGAAAAGAAGCGAGAAACTCTAAAGCAAGTAGAAACAATACGCAACGCCGCCGAGTTGCCAGTAGTAGAAGCCAGCCAGCCAGCCACTATCTCCTCATCCCCCGCAACCCTTCAGCCCGTCAGACGTATCTGCAACGGTCGATCCTGCCTCCCTTTCTCTCCTGTTGCTCATCCCGTTGCTACCCTCCTCCCCCGCCTGCGTCTTCCTGTCTCTTTCTCTCCTTTCCGTTCCGTAGCATCCTCGGTGATACCGGGAGAGAGCCATTCGAAGTACAATGGCTGGCTATAAATTACCCCTAGAAACGCTAGCATTAGATCCCGCCGGATTCACCCTTTGTATAAAGCCGCCGCGAGAGAGAGAGCGAAAGAGAGAGAGAGAGAGAGAGAGAGAGAGAGAGCTTAATTGAGCGACCTCGATATAGAAATCGCGATACGAATCACGGACTATTTGAGTCGCGTATTCGAGACTTTCGTGTCATTCGAGACTAGTGTCAGTTAGAGAAACTTTCCCTTTCTCTTTCTTGCTGCCTATTTCTGTCCATCCTCAAATAATTCATGGAAAAGGAAATCGCTTAACTGAAAAAGTAGAATAAAAGCACGTCATAAAGAATTCGATCGAGTTCGTAATTTGCATGTTTTCGTACAGTTATTGTACAGTTTAATGCTTAAAAAAGAAAGATTATATTGTAGTTCTAGAAAAGACGTTAATAAAAACTAACGTATCTCGATTATAGAATAAAGAATTATACAGAATACTTTATAATGGAGATGACTCACTGTTTCATTAATCATTTATGAAACTACGATTATCTATATGTATATAAATATAAGTGTAAATAGAAATTTTTATTGCATTTTTTTAAACACTCTGGCTCGATGCTCGTTGTCTTTTCTGATTTGTATATAGAAATCGCTAGAGAAGTTTTCAGTTTTATTCTAAAAATTCAGTAAAATTTCATGAATTTTAAGATGGAAAATAACGACGGAACTTTGAATTTGAGTCTTTTCTCTATAGATTTCCGCAGTTCGAGTCTTTTTATTTTGCAATACGGGCGCTGTTGTGTTCCATCCATCGGGAAAAATCTCACACCTCTCAGATTGATTTATTGCAGCTAATTCCTGCCTGAATGGTAATCGCGTATTGTGCCCACTCCGCGGTTGGTCTCGTCGTTAAATTTGCGCACACGTGGCGTGTGCGCGCGTATTTCCACACGCGAACACACACACACACATACACATAGAGGCAGCGAATGTAACGAGAACGAGTGAGCGAGTGACAAATTACGAATAAAATATTGATTCGTCCGGTTATACCGCCGCGCCGGTTTGTCGGCGCGAGCGTTACGCCGAATTAATGTACCAGCGTATATAATTGCACTACCGTTCGTATTAATTACCTGTTCGTAAGCTGCGTCAATCTCAAATTGCAGCAACAGCGGCCGTACTTCGATTATTCAAACAAACTGCATCCGTGAGAGTAGTCTTTCCCGAAAAACATATTGATTCAATTAAAATAACTGACTGTTTGCCGGTAAACATCGAAGATGCAGTAAGATGATGGTTCTTTGAGCCAATTATTTCAATTAGTAAAAGTTTTCATGCTGTCATTTGTGTAACTAATCTAAACTATCACTTATTTTTATTTGATTAATTTCTAAGTTTCAGTATCTCGAGATACTCGTTTTGCTTCATATATTTACAATATGTGACACAAAAAAACATTCTGTTAAAATTATTTTTCTTTAACATTTTAAAAATCTTTTTTTTTAATTTTGATCGAAAGAATAAATTTTATTAAATTGCTGAAAAAAACTACGAAAATAAACGTGTCGCATAAATTAAAAATTGAATCTTATAAAAAGATTCACTTTTTAATCTCATGTTTAAAATAACCGGTTTCAATCTTACAATTAGATGCAAATTTCCAAATGGAATTTGGCAAGAGTTTTGCCAGCTTAAACAAATCGTCCATCACGTTATCGCCGTGCGGTTATCACCGATGCTCACGATGTATCGTCGAATTATCCGGCTCGTTGACCGCATAGCTATAGTGGTGAACGGATCCATTGAATAAAAGAATACAAATGAGATCGCGGAAAGTTTCAAATCGAATTCCGGTGGAAGTTTTACGAGCGGATTGTCCGTAAAAACGGCGAATCGTGTTTCGTGTTTTCTCAACCCCTTTTCTCTTGCCCGGACCAATTCTGGGTCGCTTCAGTATCTTTTCTCTTTCCCTCTCTCCCTCTCTCCTTCTTCTCACCCTTTCTTTTCAGCTTTCTCTTATTTTCTGCTCCCTTTCTGCGGTTACACGGCGGCAAACGACAACAAACGGCTTCTTTCGGCCTCTCGGAAGAACAACTTTAATCGTCTCTATACCTACCCTGCGCGGTTTGGCGCTTGTTACTGAAAAGTGGGACTTTCCGAAGGGAAAAAGCAAAGAGCGTAGTGCTGGCAGAGTAAAGCACAGTGAATGGAGAATGGATACGACTTAAAATGAATACAGGGGATAAGTACAAAATCGATGAAATATACGAGCTTGAAAAGAGAAGTCGAAGCATATAAGTGATAGTGGCGGTAGAAAATCCATCTGGAGTCTGGGGCAGATTAAATGGATTTACAAGGAATTCATTCCATGTAAATTTCAATTTTCTTGATTTTAAATATTACCTAAATTTTTAGAAATATCTTTTTACTTAATTGTCAGTAAGAATATTCTAAAGAATCATACAGTTTGATTTTATATCAATATGCACAAATATTTATTACGCTGAAGAAAGCGGTTGAGGAGTCAAAAGTTAAAAGGAAGATCTTGTTAGGAAGTTTATTCGCTACGGGCGAATCTTCTTCAGTAACTTTAGTCGTAAACTTTTGCCGGAATGTTTTCCCGCAGCTGCGAAGAATCGTTCTTGAAGCGTTTTTGAATAGTTCGGCGAATTACCGGTAATCAGACTGGAATTATTTTTTATTAAAACTGTGTGGCGTAATTTTAAAATATATAATATAACAATATAACGCGATGAAAAACTAGGAGAAAGATAAACTCGTAAATAATTATACACAGAAAACAGTAAAATTACAAAATTATAATTTTATAACATAAAAAAATAGTTTTAATTTATATTGATGAAAAAGAGATATATTATATATATGTATATACAGCATTTTTTCATGATAATTTCCATAGAAATATATGTATAATATATGTATGATCATATCATAAAGCACAAAAAATGTATGTCAAATTGCATTTATAGGTATGCATATTTAAATATTTCGAAAATTTAATTTAATTTTTAATTCGCAAGCGCGACGAATATGAGTTATTACAATTTTTAAATAGTTCGATATTTATTAAGACAAACTATTTATGTATCTTTCATCTTTATATAAATATGTCTGCAAAACATTCATACCTATACACGTGAACAAAATAACGCAAGTTTTCCCAAATTTTAAATCTTATTTATTGATTACATTTCCGAGTACGTGTACAGTAACTTCTCTTATATATTTCTCAATAATTTCATTAAATACAGCTTTAAATCCATAGACAACAATAAATTTCCCAATGTTCTTTAGCAATTTCGAAGTGCGGTTTTTCACTCGTGTCACCACTTTCCGTCGTATGTCAAATAAACATTGTATAAACTATCATTAATTCCACGTGGATGAGTTAATTAAAACATTTAAAAAAAACTATTAAGACTATAACTTCTTTCAGAAACCCCACAATTATCTAACAATAAGCCTGAACAGGTTTTAAACAAAGTAAAGAATTTTCTTTTCCTTGAGATTTTTTTAGTAGGGGCTGGTTGTTACAGGGGTAGGTTGTTACAGTGCCAACGGTAGCTAAACCGAAAACGCTACAGTATATAACGTTAGCAACGTTAGAGTTGAGACTTTATAGAAAAAATGTCACAACCAGCCCTGGGGTCTCCCCTAAGCATCTATACGTTTTCGAATTATTAAGGGGGTCGTCTGGTCAAGAGGCTGTTTTTTTGAGGGGAATTTTTTGTAAGGAATCATAAGAATACACTTTGTTGAAACTTTTACATCATATTTATTGATATTTGAAGAGTATTTAGAAATTTTTCCAAGTTGATATATGGCCAAGAATCCGCTGTAAAGCGCTCCGACGACAGCTGTGTAAAAAAAACGGTACCCACGATTCCGGATCTCCAGGTCATCCTTAAAAAAAAAAAAAAAAAATTTCTTAATCTGTGGATGTGGCTATCGTGTGAACTAGAACCAAATAAAAATATTGAAATTTCAATTTTTGCCAACGTTTTGAAAAAAAGTTTCATTATGAACTTTTTTGGATACCGTTTTTTTTTACACAGCT